CAAGCCAATGGGTCTTGGGGTGGGTGGGTTTATTAACATGGGGGGGGGGGGTTTAATGAGGTGGGTCCTCATGTGAGAGGATTTTTTCTAGATCGGTGCAAACCGATATGTTCAAATGGCATTTTCCATAATGCAAAGAGAAGAATCATACAAGGTTAGTTCAACTCACCCTAAAATAATAGGAACTTAATTAGTTAGTATAACACTCAATAAACCAATCCAAGAACCATGTGTGTAAATCAAGTTGTATCGTCCTGCCATGGATTCATCTGAGTCTTCAGGTTTTCAACAGGATAGCCCTAGCCCATGCTGTGCTATGGACCTGAGCTGAGCTGGCTAAAACCGAGCCAGACTTGATCTCATTTACATTCCTACCAACTACAACAAAATGAACTTATCGAGCATAAACCAAAATAAGGAGATGCTACACGTCCATAATGGTGTACACCCAAGTATCATTTTCCACCAAAATAATAGCTTGAATAGTGTGATCGATATCAGCCAAACTTTGATCAGTAACACAGTTCCAAATAATCCCTGGATGAACAATTTTTCTTCTCGAAAGCAAGTAAATAATCTCAAATCACTTCACTCATTCTTGGTACAATATTTTAAAACAAGCTTAGCTCGAAGAAAAAATTAATAGAGTAAATCCAACAAGGCCAGCCTACTAGAAACTCACCAAATGCAAACTTTATCAGCTCATCAATTGAGTTCTCTGAACTAAAAATGGTGCATTGGAATCCAAAGATAATGAAGCACAATACAGTACAAGATTTTGTACTGCAAAAGAGTTCAGTATGGTCGAGCAAGGAATGACATAATTGTTTTTGCATTAAATGCGATATACTCGCAGTAAATGCAAATTGCAGATGTACTAAGTGATTGGCACTTGATAACAGATTTTGGGGCGCATATACATAATGACTATCTTTCTCTACTGGCCTCTCGCTCTTACAAGTGACTTCTTAATATCAAGTCAGCTCATGTGGGCCTATATCGTGCCACACAATTTTGATTTTCCAAGTGTAAAGGAATGGCTCAACCAAGTAAGGTGTAAAAAAATATCTGACTGCTTTAGAAAATGGATAGGGGTCCGAGGCTGATCTGACCCACAACCTTCTAGAAACAGGATAAGAAATTTTTTAGCCAAGTTTCAATTATTGCATGGAATATATTGTTACAGAGGGTGGTCACAGGTTTGGGAACATCCAAATTATTAACATTTCTTGAAATTTCAGCATGATAGAAATTATTGGAAGAACATTATTTTATGCATTTACGGCATCTCATTGCATCTAAAGCAGTATATTCTCTATTCTACACTTACAGTGTCTGTTAAGTTTTTTCCCTTGGTTTCGAATGGGAAGAGCAGGACGAAGAGTCCCGAAAAAAGTACTACGATTTCGAATAGAATAACTGCAGCTGTTTGATGGCAGCCCCTAACCAGTCCTACTGCTACCAGAGGGCATACCATACCACCAACTCTCCCGACAGAAGTTGCAAGTCCACAACCAGTGCCCCTTGTAGAAGTTGGATATACCTATAATTTAATTGAAGGCAAATAATCAGATCAAAATTTCCTAGTTCGGTTTTAATAGTAAGGAGAAAATGACATCTTTCATAAACATAGATGATGTCATGCCATAACATTACTTTCGTGCATGTTCACCACGTTGTATTACATATGACTAGATATTGTAACACACCATTCATTTTTCATGATTTTACAAACTTATATTCACATCCCAAAACTCGAGCATAATTTTTGTCAACTTGGTTTGGAAAGGAATGAATCACCAGTACTGGAATAGTAGAGAAAGGCCTGCAATTAACTAATCCCTGTTTTGGTCTACTTGCTTATTCGGCTCATGGATCTTAATTAAAAATCAACATTAAATACTTCTCCCGAAATTCAATTGTTGTTATCTCACCCAATTTCTTGCAGAAATAATATTTCTCTTGCATGATTTCCTTTGGTCATGTGCATCTAAAAAGAGAAGTATTATTTCAAGATGAAGTTACACCTACTGTTACATCTATCTAGAAATTTAGAATGTTCTTCTAATCTAGCATTGAATGAATTTCTAAAATAAAAAGTTAAATAAATGAAAATAAAATGAACTGTACATAATAATCAAATGTACCTCCTTCGCATAGACGGTTAGACTTGTAAATGCTGCAGAAATGAACATTCGAGCACCAAATAACAATGCTGTAGTCACCGACTCGTTTTGATGCAAAAGTAGTGGTAGAATTAGGATGAACGTAAACATGGTAAGAATTTCCACAGTAAGCTTACGACCTAGCCGATCAACAAGAACTGCCGCAACAATAAGCCCAGGAAGTTCTGCAATGAAAAATCAATTTAGCAATGACAGCTCTTTACTTTTATGCTTGTTTCACATTTTTGTTCAAAGTTCTTAAAATAAGCGCATTCAATGTGGAACGTCTAGATTCATAGTTGTTGAAGACATAATTTAAATAAGTATTTTCTCCCTTTTCTAACACCTTGTGCTATTACATGAGGTGGTTCAGCATGGTACAAAGCAAACATAGTTCTTGAATTCAAAATCCACACCTTAACCCATTTATGAAAATTAACACGTCATAATTGTGGACCATTTTTAAAACATTATTTACCTAAATAGGTCGGGTTTTCTATTACTTCAAATTTAAGATGAGGTGGTTCGGCAATAGTACCTGCAAAACTAGTAATAAATACGCGAATATAGAGGCTTGCATCCTGGACATTATCAAAATGGATAGTAATTAAGCCACATTCTTTTTGTCCACTGCTCAACTGAGATATCATCAATATAATTCCATAGTATGCAAATGTATATCCAAAATGCAAAAGCCACAAGAGAAGAGTAGTCCCCAGTAAATTCGATGAAAAGATTTCGAGTGTAGATTTGAGAAATGTTTCTAAATAGCCTCTCTCTTTTCCGACTGAAGAAAGAAGAGGAGTTTCGTCCAATTGTGTGTTTTCTTCATCTAGATCCATGTTTTGATCAGAGAGAAGAATTCCTGTGGGAAGTTTTGTTCGGTTGATTAGAGCTACTTTTTCCAAAATTATAAGGGCTTCAGTTGTTCTGCCTTTCATATATAGGTATCTTGGAGACTCCGGTGCAAAATTAGAAACGAGAAGAACCAAGAAAGCTGGTATAGATGACAAAGCAAGTAGCCACCTCCAGCCCAAGCCTGGCATAACAATCTGCACGAAGAAAGGCAGCTTTATGATAATCCTATTAAAGCGTTTAGAGCATGTTTGTTACGTAGTATTAGACCATAATCAACACTACAATTAACTTTATAACAAAGAAACTTGATTAAGATTCAGATATACCCATGCTAGTGAAGCTCCCATTAATGTTCCAAGAGTCCAGAAAGTTGTAAGAGAAAGCATCCAAGCACCTCTACTGGAAGTTGGAATGAACTCCATAAACCATGATGCGGATACATGTCCACCGGCCACACCAAATCCAACTAAACTACGATATATTATCAGTAACTTGTAGTCAGGGGAAGAAGCACTTAACAGTCCAGCTACTGCTACTACCAACACTGCACCCTGTATTCCCATCCTGTAGGGAGAACGAAAAGTTCTTTTTAAGGCCTATGAACTCATTATACATGTAAGGGGAAACATGGATACAGATTTAGCTGTTAGAATGCTAATCAATTAACAAAACATCAATAATGAATTTAAAACATATATCTATGTAGGTTTAGATGTGAGTATATTCAAGTATTTGATCAATATTTTTTTCAAAAATAACTCCACTTATGTCTCAGTGGGAGCTTGGCGTACCCGTACGTGTTCATTAGATAAAGAACAAATTCACGGAGGTCATAGAGCCTGACCTCCACAATTACAACATGAGGAGATAAAGATAATTTAACATTCAAATGTGATTCAACGTGTGAGATGGAAAAGATGAAGCAAAAAAATGATTACCTTCTGCCATAGGCATCTGATATGAAACCCCAAAAATATGCTCCGACAAGCATTCCACCAAAAACAGCGGTGGTTAGAAGGCTCTCTTCAGTGGGAGAAAGTGTCCACTCAGATTTAACTGTTGGTCCTATGAAGGAGAGAAGCATCATTTCCATCGCTTCTGCAAGCCAACCAGCCCCAGCGAAAAGCAGGGCAAGACCCTGGAAAGTCCCAAACCCGACCATAGAAAGTGCTTCATCCACTGTGAATACAAGGCTCTGATCTGCCATCTTAAGAATCAACTACAAAGAAACCATAGAACGATCATTTCTGCAATAGTAACTTGCTGACTGTAGTTATGGTAAGTATCATGTTTTAAGAACTCAAAACAGCCAACTGCACACTAGTTTTAACATTATAGGATATCTTATGAAAAGTTTGAGAAGTACAAGCTTTTTCAATAGATCTTAGCAATCAAAAAGACATTAAGAAGAAATCATCAACATAATCACTAAGAAGGTTATGGTACACAGTATTTAGTATTGTCCGAATCCGAATATACCTTTTTCGTATCTAATATTTGTCCAAATCCGAATCGACTTTACCAGTGTTCCCAAATAAAATTATGAACGAAATCCAACAAATATTAATCGAATCCAAAACACTGAACCAATTAAGAAGAAATTCATCAGAAAGAGAAAGAAACTCATCACTCTTCCCCCATTTTCTTTGAGTGAAAAAATATACCTCAATGCTCGTGTGGACTCAGTTTTGATCTCAGCTGATGCTAGTTGTTCATAAAACTGGTGAAATGAAAAGCATTTTATCAAATTTGCAGGTGCCACACAATAAAGATTCCTTTTCACTCAAGAGTAAGTTCAGTGTAAAATCGAGGATCATATCAGAAAATTATTTTTAATTGCAGAATGCATAGCAAAAGTTAGAAATCAAGAAAAGAGAGAATTTACCTTCCAACATTTTCGCTTAATGATGAAAATCAAGTCATCAAAAGAGCAGTTTTTCTTCTGTGGCTAGCAACGGACCATTGCACAGTTGTCAGTGTTTTTAAAACAAAAAAAAATGTCAAATTATTTGAAGGTAATAAAAAAACATTTAGCTTTATTTTCAACATAAAATTACACACAAGCACACACCCACATACAGACGCATAAATGATAGCCAGGAGGGCCTATAAAAGATAAAACGAGTATATGCCTCATGTACGGAAGCAATTTTCACATAAAATTCACAGAATACTTACATGAGTGGGCTCCAGGCATATTTTTTTAATACATGGTGGCGTCCACTCATGTGAATATTTTGGTTAGCTCATGTGAAAATAATTTGAACGGTGAGGAATAATTGAAGTTTAAAATATCGCTGCCCAATAATTGCTAGAATTTAATAAGAAAACAAGGGACAATAAAATAAGCCAATTTTGCTGACATATTATTAATTTTTTAACGTTATATCCCGTTAACTTTTATTAAAATTTGCTGAGACTTTTGTTGGAAAACCCTAAATAAGAACATGTTTGAGGTCTTGAGATTTTAGGGTTTTTTATATGAACTTCAATAAATAGTTAAAAATAAAATGTAATATATAAATATTAGAAGTATTACTTTTAATAGGACTCTCTCATCTATGCAGAGCCTTTAAGGTAGTCATGCTTTCATTTAAAATTTATTTTCAATATGCTCTTCACGTACAAACGGGATTCATTTTTTCATTCAAAATCTGACACTAACATATGTTTTTGAATGGTGCTTGACATATCATCTACATAGAAATGGGATTATTTTTCGATCAAAGCCTGTCACATTCTAAGAGATATTTTTGAATAATATTTAGGGCTAGTTGGATGGAGCTTTTGAAAAAGTAAAAGCTATTGTTTATGATTAAGAAATTGCTTCTAAACATGTTTAAATAATTTTCTAAAATACTTTGTTAGATATGAAGTATATTGTCTTATTAAAAGAGTTTTTAAAGAACTACAAGCAGTAGCATAGTTATTAAAATCGGATCGGACCAATCGGTTCAGATCGTGAACCGTCGAACCGGATGATGGTCCGGTCCAAATTCATCAATTGGTTATTAAAATCGGATTGAATCAATCGGTTCAGATCGAGAACCATCGAACATGTATATTTAGATTTAGCAAAATAGTTTTCTTTTTAATTCAAAAATACATTTTAATTAAAATCGTGATCTAACAATGACCCACCAGTTCAACTACCGATTCATCGATTGACCCTATGATCCGACGATTTTTCTGAGTCGACTACAGAGTCCGATTTAATAACTATGACACGCAGAAGTAGAATTCCTTCAAAATTCGTCTTAAACAGTTTATAGAAAGCAATATGTACATTACATAATATTATACAATAATCAATTATTGTGATCATACATATGCAGCTACGTGCTTGATTGTAGCTTTGCTTAAGAAAATCTGCTACATAACATTCTTATAATCGTGCACACAACAAAATGTAAAATGTGTCGGATCATTGCATAGATATTTTCATTTGTTTTTATTTCCTTTGCTCGAACAAGAAATAAATCAAATAATATATCATCTTGATTTCCGTGCAATTCCTTAAAAAATTTCACCGCTGATCCCTAACTTATGGTCTATATTTAACTTGGTCTTGAACTTATTATTTTGGCACCGTTGTCTTTATTATTTTAGTTTGATAGATTCGATGGTCTATACTGTTTCTGTAATTTTGAGCGTTGAAAAGTTAATGATTTATTGAATAATAATTTTTTAGTTAAAGTTGACATTGTATAGCTAAAAAGAAAAGTGGAAATTACATGGAACTGGAATTTTTAAGTTTTCATTTCAAAAATCGGATTTAAAGTTTGTTTATGCAAAAATCAGATAATTCAATAATAATATTATTGATGCTACCAAAAACTTGTACCTGAATGAACTTGAACTAGATGGTTGAACTCCGCATAATCTGATCTTCAATACTTGAAACAAAGACGTCGAGATGTGTCCTCGTTATCCATCCGATGCTTAAGTCAGACAGAGGAATTGGGCAAAATATGGTATGTTTGAATATTAATGAAAAACATACCTGAATAATGAGATTGGATCATGTATTTATATATGTTGGAGGTGGAATTCTAAAATGACTCAACTGTATGCAATTCTTATCTTTTTTATTCTAGGTGTTCGTCTTATATTAGAAGTGCGCAATTTGACTTAGAGTCGAATTTGTAATAGATTGAGATTGCGTATCTGAATAGGAGTGTTAGTTAAAATATGATTACTATTCCTAAGAGACGTAAGATGAGGTCAAGTGGTATGGACATGAATAACACGTACCTGAAATCATTTTTCCCCCGACCTCGTCTCCAAGCCCGACCTTACAATTGGTGTAATCAAGGTCAGTTAAGCTCGAGCAATGTGATCGAGCTCGGGTATATAAAGCTCTTGCTATCACAGGCCTCTGTGCATCTAGGTCACAGCTAAAAGTTATGTTTCTCGAGCTGCGAGTTGAGATACAACGAGGTGAAATAGCCTGAGATCAAGCTCCTAGGGTCTTTGTGCATAACAACTGTGCTTGACACGTGTCAGATGCGTGTAGGGCCAATGAAGACCGATCTTGGATGGCTGACACGTGGCATAATCCACGGGATTGCAAGACCTTTGACCTTCATCTGACCCCTATAAATACCCCCATTTTCACCTCCCATTTTTCACTTTTTTACTCTCAGCTCTCAGTAAAAGTAGATTAAGGTCAGGGCTTTAAAGGGTTTGTGAGCGACCACCTTTAAGATGTAAGTTTTAGATTTTAAGTTATTTATTTTTAGTATCATAACGCCTAGTAGTAGTAGTGAGGGGTCGAGCAGTAGTAGTAGTCAGTCCTCTAGGAGCTCGACCACTAAGAGCCCCGATGATGTGGGTGCATCCCTCATCCCTGTAGTAGTCCCTCTAGGCTCGCACCCTGAGGTCGAGACTAGCCTGACTTGCCCTAGAGAATCAACCAAATATAAGGAACTTGTAGTTATAAAGGTTGCTAGAGAGTTCGGGGTTATGCCCCTATGTGATGTAAGGACCCTTGAGCTTGGTGATTCCGTAGTAGATGTCGAGAGGGAAAGATGACTTTTTTTAGAGATGCCCTTAAGGCCGAGCTTAGATGGCCTCTCCACCCTTTCTTTGTTCATTTCCTTTACTTTTGCTTAATGTGCCCGAGTCAGTGGTCTCGAATAGCTGGAGGCTGTTGGTCTATTTTTTCATTTTGTGTAGACGCCTCGAGGTCAAGCCAAGAATCGAGCTCTTGAGGGCAGTGTTTGACCTTAAGTTCGCACCTGGGTATAATTGTTTTTCTTACTTATCGACCAAAGGGGGTTTAGACTCTTGAAACCCCGGGAGCTCTCTTCGGGAGTGAAAATGGCGATTCTTTTTTGTGAAACTTCAAGCCCCCGATTATACTTTCAGCCCGATGTGGGAAATTCCAAATAAAGATAGGTTCAAAGAGAGCTAAGAATATGTTGAGGTTTTAAAGAGGGATATGTTGAGGTTAGTGAATCATGATCCCCTTGCAGATAAGATTAATTACTTCCTTGAGGATGACACCCTCGACCTTGCCAATGTAAGAGGGCTCGAGGGTATGATTCTCTCTTCCTTTGTTTTTTATTAATCTCGACCCGTTGTTCGAGCTAATGCCTTGTGATATTTTGTGGATTTAGAGATGTCTTTCAATCCATCAGCACTTTTTGCCAATGTCCACTAAAAGGTAAAGGGCCAGAAGCCCAAGGTGCCCGCCCCATCAAAAGGAAAAAAGAGAGCTCGAGAGCCATCATCGAGTAAAGTCCCAAGTGGGTTTAAGCAATCGTCCAAGAGCCCGACCTCTTATCCTCAACCTTCACCCCGCCCCTTAGCTCATGCCTCCACTCCCTGAGACCAACTAGAGATTGTCGACCTGGAGGAGGACACTCTCCTTTCTCAGTTGTTGCTGGAAGATCATGCTCGGTGCCCATTGATCCCGAGCTTGGTGAGCAAGTACCAGGATGAGGTCGATCTTGGTAAGGGAGTAAGGGCACTCGAGCTCATTATTTTAAAGGTATGTATTTCACTTCGAGTTAATGGCTTGCAATTTTATTTTAAGTTTGATCTGATGTGAAAGGTCTTTTAGGTCTTGAGCATGGCCCTGGGTTTGACAATGAAGAATTTGGGCTCATCGACTAAGATGGCAGAGCTCGAGGCACAAAAAGAGGAGAAGGACAAACA